TGAGTCAAATGCCTCTTTTAGGTCCAGGAACAGGACTATTGTCGGACGTCTAAATGTGTGTCTGTGTTCCAGGACCTGTCTGAGTGTGAAGACGTGGTCTATATAGCCACGTCCAGGTCGAAAACCAGCCTGGTTTTCTCGAGTCTGCTCTTCACGAGCTTTCGTTAAGCGTCGAAGTATTACTGAGGCCAATATTTTAGATATTATATTAGTTAGACTGATTCCCCCGTGATTGTCACAAGAAGACTTTTGTCCTTTCTTATAGATTGGGACAATCAGTGATTGAGACCACTCGGAAGGGATTACGTCCAGTTCTTAGATTCTACCTAAGAACTCAGTCAATCTAGCTGCTAAAACTGAACGACCATCCTTAAATATCTCAGGGGTCAGTCTATCAGGACCAGCAGCTCGCACTCGCTTCAGATTTCCTAACGCCTTTTCAACTTCATTAAGACTAGGGGGACTTACGTCGATTTGCTATTCAGGATGACTGGAGGTCGTGGGTAACCGAAGTGTGGCTCGAGGCCAGTTGAACTGATCCCTAAAGTTTTCTGCCCATCGATCCAGTCTCCTGGATTGAGAATGGATAATAAGACCATCCTTTTCCGAGATAGTCTCACTTACACTAGGATTTCTAATACCAGTTTCTTTATTAAGGCGGAAAAGTTGTCTACTGTTGCCGATCGCCGCTGCCTTTTCCATCACCTTTGCTTTCGCCACCCACCACTGTTCACGGTTGTTGCGTAGGCTTTTTATAAGTCTGCGCCTAAGCTGACTTCGTTCTTCATCATGTTCAGAGCCAGGTGGAATGCGCTTTTGGGCATCCATCAGTTCAGTGGATGCTACTGAGATCCATTATCATTAAGTAAAACCCTGAGAGGCTTACTTACGGTGTCTTTCCTACGTCCAGTAAGCCTTAAACAGATACGAGCTCGCACTAGGGCATGATCTGAATCTAAATATGTGCCCCACAACGAGCGACAGTGCTCTATCGAACCCCTCCATCGGTGGCTGATGGCAATGTGATCTAGTTGAGTCCAACGTTGAGACGACTTTGGAGGTCGCCAGGTCAACAGATGCTTTTCCTTATGCTTAAAGTTAGTGTTCGCTAAGAATAGGCGGTTGTCTGAGCATGCTTGCAGCAGACGGTCGCCATTGTCTGTTCTCTGAGCCGCGACACCATAACATCCACCTAGGTGTCTCTCCTGCTCACTTAGTCTACCTACTTGAGCATTAAAGTCACCAGCCAATAATACTATATCAGAGCGCCTAGCTTTTCGGAGGAGGTCCGAAAGCTTTCTGTAAAACTCATCTTTTACATCGTCTGAACTGCAGTCAGTGGGGGCATAGGCAGATACGACGGAGAGGCAACGGCGAGTCCCTATCCTTACGAATCCTTACTGTCCCGTTTAGTCGGACAGCGCACAAGCAACTATCTACTGGGATCCAGTCAAGGAGAGATTGTTCTACACTACGACTCAATGCTATACCTACGCCAGCAAGACCCCGGGAAGCAGCATCAGGGCTACCGGATACACGAAGGGTGAATCGGGCTGCTTCTTCGTTTTGACAAGGTGGAATCAGGTTAATGACTTTACTAGGATCCTGTATGCGCGTTTCCGAGACGCAGCATACATCGATGGAACGAGATTCTAAAGTCCTAGCTAATGATGCCTGTTGCCCTATTTGACACAATGTCCGTACATTAAATGCTCCAACATGTAGTCTAGAACGAGATTTAAAGAGACCAGGAATGACGTTTCGTGAACTCGCATTGTTTGCATTAGCAGTGCAGTCAGATAAGGGAATGTGAGTAGAGTTCGTTGTGGAGAGAAGAGAGGTAGGTGTGGGTGTAAGAAGGATTTGATTTCGACCAATTTTGTCTCTCGTACTGTTACGGGTATGAGGGCGTTTGTCACTTTCCGGCTGCTCACACCGTGGAAGGTTGTTTCTTGAGGGACCTGAAAAGGAAGATAGATTAGTGTTGGTCTTGGAGACCTGTGAACGTGACCTCATAGTCTAAGGGACTACTGCTTGAGGCCGATCACGTACGGCCTTTTGATGAAAGGTCTTTTGAGTATTATCTCCGCTCTTAAAGGCCCTTAGTGGGCATCCTTACCACCAGAGACGGAAATCCGTGAGGTAGGGTGAGGTGTGACTTTTTCACAGTCGACATTTTCTGACCCTTCCTTCCTTGTGAGAAGGCAGCATCGCTGCAGATGCTGCTTGTCCGAGGGAAACACCTTACTGCTATCACACCCCTCCATCACAGTCAGCAGTACGACTTCGCTATCAGACTTTGGGTAGCTGCTTTTAGTCTCATCGTTCTCTAATCGACCTGCCTGGCATGGTAGGACCTGCAGGAACATATGTTCCAGCCAGTATAGCTCGGTTGGGTCATCACGATAGTCAAGCCCGACAAGCACCACGTCAAGGTAGCAGCTACGGTCGGGAATACTTCTGATACCTCTACTATGGTTGAATTAGGATTGAAAATTCGATCTCTCTGTGCTAATGTGGTATGACAACCTGAACTATGATGTAAAGTATGATCATCGATAAGCTATAGAATGGAAACGTGTTGCATTCACTTAGTCACAAACTCAACTTAGAGGCTGAAGTCAAGAAGGTCGGTGAATATCAACACTGAAATGGGAGATACGTCGTTACCAGAAGAGTACTGAGCTCTTGATCCGCAAGCTTCCTTTCCAACGTTTGGTCCGCGAAATCGCTCAAGACTTCAAAACTGACCTTCGTTTCCAGAGTTCAGCCGTCTCAGACTATTCCTCTTTAACTGGAACTAAAAGTGTATTCTATACTCTACTACGAATCGTATACAATATGTGCCCTACGATAATCATAGAGAACTTGATATACCAGTGGAGACTGATTGATTTGCAACCATTTTGTAGAACCGCACCTGCCTCCACAACCAACGATTTATTCGCTCAACTATTCACTTTAATCATTAGTCGTTTAAATTATTCCGATAATCGTTTGGTTCCTAAGTTCAATCTTTTCAACTTTTATACTATTCGCTTGTTAGGAGGATATTGATCAAATATTCTAAAGGAATTATTTTGTGAGTCTGATTCTATTGGTCAATATTTAAGGCCGTCCTACTTTGGAATGTTCTTTCCTATTGGTTAGTAGTATTCATGGTCGACCTAACTGTATAAATATGCATTGCCAGATAACCTACATCTACCAACATGACTCAGTTCACTTGTCAGTCACTTCATGGATTTCTGCCATATTTTGGTCTGGCTGCACCTAAATTTCGTCCAACTTATTCCTACATAGCAAAATATAGCTCGACGAGGCAGTCGGTGGTTAGGCATTCGTAACAGATGTCTCAACCACATCAACTGATGAAGTTTCATTACTTCATCTATTGATCTGCCATCCTTACCTAGTACTCGTTTCCTAACGATAGGATTGCTTACTCGGTTGTGCCAGGATACACGAGCAATGCCTCGGATACACCTATGATCGAAGACTAGTAACCTACGAAAGTCCTCTACCCTTAACGGCCATGTTTCGCATCCATATAGTAAGACGGAGCGAACTACTGCTAGGTACACACGTCCTTTAGTTAGCGAATAGATATCTCGCCTGCGCCATAGGTGACGCAGGTTGGCAAAAGCCAATCGAGTCTATTGTATCCGAGCTGAGATTTCGTCAGTCACCAGCGCTGATGCGACTCCCCAGGAAGGTGAAGTGGTCTACGCGTTCGACTACTTCATTCCCTATCACTAGTTCAGGTGAATTTGCAAGCCAATCTCGAACATGCCTACAATGTCGCATAGGGTAGTCAGAACACTCTGCATTTTGTCCGCGTCTTCACCAAGTAGGACTATATCATCGGCAGCAAGCGATGTTCCTGTTAGAAAGTCGACTCCTGAAAAGTCGGACGAGGATAAGGTTATATCCAGGACACTCGGTTCTCTTTCACTCAATTCCGTAAACAACATCTTCGCCACAAGAATGCAATGTTTACACACACATAACTACTATCTGAGAGCATTTCGATAGGCATTGAGGACTCTTGACATTCTTGAGCGCCTAAAACAGATGGTCTTCTTAGTCTTTAATATAAATTCTCAAGTTGTTATGATAATAAATCACACGCATCTGTGCTCACATGTCATCTCACGATCAAAAGAAGTAACATAGGTGAAAAGTTAGGATTATTTGTTCGAGTAACTGACCATTATTACATTTGTAGTGAGAAGATGAACGCTACTAACAACACTAACTAGTTGGATAAGTGTTGGGGACGTTAGATCATCAGAACTCACTTGAAAAATGTTCTAATTTTGTAATTCACTTCTGAAATTTTCAATTTCTATGTTTTCTCGTCAAGAGACACTTAGTTGACCTACAGCTTACAATTCCCACTCAGAAATGCATTGACGGTCATTGGTTGACGGAGTATTTTATTAGTACGCTATTTTGTGGCCTCTCATCAAGGGCATCGCTTTCATTGTATCAAAATAAGTTTGATTTGTGTGCTTGTGAACCTCATATTTTCTGGGTACTTGTAGAATAAGCTATTTCTACACCTTATCAAAACTTGTTGATCTAGTTAGCCAGCCGGACCAGGGGAGAATGGATTAGAATAGCTTATCGTGTCACTGTATCGTTGATCTTCGTTCAGTTTACTGAGTCAGGTGAGCATATTAATAATAAGACAATAATGAACTTTTAAAGTCAACACGGTTTATTTCAAGTAGTATATAAATACAGGGAGATAAAAATACAACTGGTCTCTTTGGTATGTATATAAATATATATCTCCTATTATGTACACAAACACTCACGCACAAACTATGGTCAACTCATGCAAGAACGATGAATTCAACATAAACAGTTTGAAGTAAAGCGCACACACACACATTCAATGAACATAATTACGTAATAAATCCCCACAAAGAAAGCTAGTAATCCGCAGCAATCTACAAGAATGGCACACACAAGCAAACAGTGAGTAGTTTGATTCAAGTAAAAAATATATTTTTTAAAATAGGTGCAGCTGTCCAACTGGATCCAACTGGTTGACCATTCACTACAAGGAAATTCGACAATGGGACACGTATAATGCGTAAATGAATATTTTTCAACTGATCCGGAAGAGTAGTAGTTGTAGTAGTAGTAGTAGTAGTAGTAGTAGTAGTAGTAGTGACAGATTCATCGACGGATGACGATGATGATGATGACTGAGCAGTGGTCGATTCCGATTCTGTACAGTTAGTACTGTTGCTACTCATTAGACTACTACCACTACTACTTATTTCGTTGTCAGTAGTAGCAGTAGTAGTAGTCGGAGTAATAGTCGTAGATGTACGAAGATATGAAAATTTCTCAATCATATCAGATAGATATTGATTGTCTAAAATTGACAAGGCGCTTAGACATGCATGCAGTACAAAGCCGTCAATGAATATTTCTTCAACAAATGGGTTAGGTATAGCGATGATATCTTTTCGAGTTGGTCCAACACCCTGGAATAAGTTAAAAGTTATAGAGGAGGGAAGAACACCGTGTAAAACATCGGATGGGGGGAGGATTGTCCAATGTGTCAAAATCAATGTCATCAAACAAGGAAATTCTGGTTAAAGGAAGAATATTTGCAAGACGAAGTCATACTGCGCACTGTACTGGAGAGAGTAACAGAAGTAAAGTTTCTCACATACAACTAACATCTGTAGCGACGCTGCCTTAAAAAAATTAAGGTCTGAGGAGTTAGGACTCAAAACATAATGAACTACTGACAAAAAACGTCGGTTTCGAACAGTTTACTCTTGACTCTATGGTCAAGTTCACAGATCCCCAAAATCATTTCAAACTTGGTACTCTAGGAAGAATTTAGCTTCCAAATCATGCTAAGTTGGCTCACTAGAGTTTAGTTGATAATAGATTGGCGTTTAAAGCGAGCAAGTACTAGGTGTTCAAGTCTGGACATGCACAAACTAACACAATCGGAGTTACATACATTCGGCTGACGAGTCCTAAATAGGATGAAATGTGTATGCCTTGGACTACACAGTGTTAGAGTGATTACAATGTGAATTATAATCCCTGTGTTAGGATATTCATCAAATACCCTAAGAGAATTACTTTTTTTAAGTCTGATTCTATCGGCCAATTCCTACTGGTCAGTATTATGGTCGTCCTAGCTATCAATGTCACAGACTTCGATGTTGTTTCCTATCCGACCTAAATGTATAAATATGCACTATCTGTAACGTTTTATGACCCGGATCCTCAGTCCGGAGATCCTGATTCTCTTCTGGACTCGGACCTTGTACTTTCTCGATGTTTTTAGAATACACGTTCTACTTCATATCAAGTCTTCTTCTTTTACTCAATGGGGATCTGGGATGCTCGGATTAGAGTAGCCATCCGCCTTGCTGGATCCTCGATCCTCACCCTCGTTTTCCGACTAAGGTAAACTCGTAATAATAGTTCAAGCATATTAAATGACGTGTTTACGTGCATGTTATGCTCGTCTCTAGGTATGCTTAAAACTATCACGGGTTCACCTTAGTCGAATAACGAGAACAAAACAATGAACCAGCGTCCAGGTAGGCTACTTTGATCCCTTGACCCAATGGTACCAGCACGAAGTCTTGATATAGCGTTGGAAGTGTATTCTACAAACACCCAGCCAGCACACATTAAATCCAAGCACTCAAATTGCGTTTATTTATACTCGCTATAGAGACGTCCTTGGGAGTGTCACAAAAATAGCACACTAAAATGACACAGTAACCACCAATCACAGCCAAGGATTTTTCTGGTGGGAAATGTGATCTCCAGATCAACTGATTCAATCCACATGAAATAAATCCAAAATAAAGATATTATTGATCAAGTGAATTCCCCAACAGTGATGAGTGTATGGCGTAAAACACACATTGGTTTGAAGGAGGAAAGAAAGAAAAATATCCACAACTACATACACAACAAATTAACTCACTTTGCCAACATTATACAATCGTACCGCGAATCGTGTACCATAAGCATCGACTAGAATTACATTTATTGCTAAATCAGAATCATTAGGTAATTCAGTGAGTACACGTCCAACGCATACAGTATTTTTATTTAATCCTACCTACAAAATAATAATAATAATAATAATAATAATAATAATAATAATAATAATTAAAGAGACGAGACAAACCAAGAGGTGTGTGTGTTTAAATTAAATTTATATGAATCAATGTTTCTCCCATGGTTGACGGAAAGCAGTAATTGTTTACTTACCTCATCAATGCACGATTCTGGGTGGTGGAGAAATAACGTTAGGAGAAAAGTTTAGATGGCCTAATTAAAATGTCAGTCAGTCAGAGTTAGTAGTAATGTAGAACTTGGTGTGTATGTAGTACATCAGTTCAAGGTGCATACTACTGAGAAGACTGAGGCAGGCGAGGAAGATTGTATTATGCAAATTTACACTCTTAGTCAATTAAAAACGAAAACATTGCATTGAACACTCCATTTGCACACCATCTTTGAGTCCTGACTTCCAACGCTCCATCCTTCTTCTTCCATTCCTGTTGTTGCTTCCTTCCCTTCTTCCTGTTGGTACTCCTCCATTTACTTCTTGCTTTTGCTCCATTTGCTTTCCGTTTTCCTCTTCTGACCGTGAGACTTCTTCTTTCACGTCCCTTCTTATACTACTTATATCGTTCGTATAAGTAGAACACACCACAATAAACCCCACAGTAGTGAGAGTAGTAAGACCCAAAATAAGATTCAACAAAAATCGGTGAAAAAAAATGAGAAGTTATGAGAAATTCAAAAGATTAGAATTTGGGTCAGGACAAAGAATAAATGCACCCGTGAAGTTGAAAACGACTTTCAGTCATACTATTCAAAGTCTCTAACCACTGGCTAAGATCATGGTGTAGACTACAATCAAGTAGTCTACACCTATTAACATGGTTCAATTCAACTGTCAATTGCCTTATGGACTGATGCCATGTCTTGGCTTGACCAACCCTAGCTTTCTTCAAACCTGCTCCTACACCAGACAGCATCACTTCCCAAAGCAATTGGTGATCGGGCTTACGTAATACATGTCCTAACCATCTGGGCCGATCATGGTTCACTACTCTATCAATTCATTTGGCGTCTTCACCTGTAGCCTTATTTACAATACACGTATCGATTAGTCGGTAGTTTCCCAGAATATCACAAACAATGTTCCGAAGATACGTATAATCGAAATCTAGTAATCTACAATTACGCTCTATTCTTGAAGGCCATATTTCCCAGTGATAAAATAGAACTGAGAGAACTTCTGCTGCACGGTAAACTAATCCTTTAATTAGCGAACAGCTTAGAAAACCAGGCGCTGAAATAATATTCATTAGAATTATAGATTACGTAGTAAGAAGCATCCAGATAATTGGATAGTGAGGTGCATAGTGGAAGCAGACAAGGGAAGAGATAGAGGTGTCAGAAATTTCTTCTGACTTGGATTGTTGATAAATAGAGTTCGCTAACTCGTTGGTTCTGTGGTCTGGTTGTACATTTAATACACCCTTCTCTACAGGAGTGACTGAATTTGTAGATAGACAAGGATATGGCAAAACCGTGAAACTTATCCACATTAATTGAGGAATCACAATAGATCGGCTAGGAGATGGAAGCTGACCATCAATCTTCAACCAACAATATCCTGGGTTCTCTTTCCCAGTTATTTCCAATTGCTATTCATTCTTTTCAATGTCTGCCTCCAATTCTCGATGAAATAAATGTTATTTGGTTTACCTTGTTTCCTTTGGCCTTGAGGATTCCTCGTTTGAGGCTTTCCTCGTGATACAGTTGGGTGACTTCTCCTATGTGTGTCCTTACCACTTTCAGCGCTTTTTTCTATTATATTCCTCATTTGGAATATGGTTTTTTCTCTCCCACAGAAGGTTGTTGCTGATGGTGTCTGACTAACGGATTCAGTGTAATAATAACAAACATCTGTACCTCTTAAATGACTACTCGTAGTTCTGGAACTTTCTATTTCACAAAGTAGAACTGTCTTGACATTTGTAGTAAAAATTCAGACTTTGATATTGGTTAACAGGCCATTTTTCGAGTTCCAGATGTCTTTCTGTGTCTTTGTTTCAGTGTCAGATCTACCTTGTTTATCAATGAAGCTGTCCAGAAATGTACTGGTTTCTACATCTTTAAAAGTTTCTCCTGGTATTGAGAGTAGAGTGATGCCTCTGCAGTTCTCACACTTGGAAAGATCTCCTTTCTTTGGTATCTATATGAGGTATCCTTCTTTACAGTCTGTAGATACTTGGTCTTCCTCTCAAATCTTTCTGATCAGAGCGTAGAATATGTTTGCAGTTACTGTTACGTACACCTTCAATGCCTCAAGCTGGTATATTGTCTGGCTCTGCTGTTTCTCCACTCTTGCTTTTTATGATGGCCATGCTGACTTCCTCCATTATTGGTGGGTCAACATCAATTGAGAGATGTATGAGTTCTTCAAGGTGCTCCTACCGACCAGTTCTTTCATGTAAGTAATTGCTTCGCCTTTCGCGTTCTTCACTGGTCATTCTAATTTACTATATTTCCCAGAGAGTTTCTTTTTCTGCCATGATTGCCTAGGTCTTCCACATTATTTGCGTTTATCGTTTCTAATGCTTCGCTTCACTTGTTTGTTTGCTTCTGTGTGTGTATTCGGCTTTCTCTGCTTGTGTTTGCCTGTTATGGATTCCTGCCTTCTTATGCTTCCTTTCCTTAAATCCTAAACCATAGTATCAACAGTGATTCATTCCTTGTAATAGTGATCCTTGTGGTCCTAAAAAAACCTAATGAGAAGCTGAAGTTATCGTTCCTTTGATTCCTTTCAACTGGTTCGCCATGGTAGATCGTGAAACGCTTGGAACTTGTGAGCTGAGTTGTGTGTTGAGTTTGCCAGTATCTGGAAGAAAGACCATATTATACTTCTGTAATGGCTCTATATGCCCAGTCATTAAACAGTACTTTCATTACACAAATGAATTGCTAAATGTCGAAAAAACTTAACCACCTAAGCCATATCGACCTAGCAATGTTTGATTAATTAATAAAAAGCCTAAAACTGATTTTTTTTAAAAATGGGGAATACTAAAAAACCTAGGAAACGGAACGAATAAAAAAAGCGTGTTGATATTTCATTTCACTGTTCAACTCTGAACATCAATACTAACTTCTCAGTTTGTAATATATTTGTCAAAACTGAATTCTCATTGGCTAAAACCAGACATCTCACTTTCTTAAGGTCATGCCAGTGTGTGATGAGCCAATAAGAGTTCACCAGTAAGAATGTACTTTAGCCAATCATAGTAATAATAATAATAATAATAATAACTCAAATAATTACTTGTAAATTATTGAACGGAACAAATTGAAATCGATGTGAATGAACTAGAGCATTGAATAAAAGATTACCATTAGTTTTTGCTGAGTCAACGGTTAGATTGTCGTCGTTATTATGATCACTGGATTTCGAGGCAGAAGAAGAAGAAGTAGCTTTCAAGTGTTTTTTCTTCTTTTTCTTACTACTACTACTACTACTACTATCTTGACAAGATCGTTTAGAAATTGTTTGATATTTCGATCCAAATGATTGATTTTTTTGTTTATTATTATAAGAATAAAATGGACAATAAGGTCCTAGTAAACGATTTAATGCGGATATTTCTTTGACAGTGAATGATGACGTAACATCTTGACTTGTATTGACTATATGGTGGTGGTCGTCGTTGTTGTCGACAGCGACAACATCACCATCTGCCGTATCTCCATTGCCAGTATTCTTGATAGACAATAATGGCGGATTGGTTGTTGGTGTTGTTGTTGTATGGTCATTTGCATCATGCACAGTGATAGTTTGTGATAGTTTTTTTAATGGAGTAAGCAATGAAATGAAGTCATCTGAATTAGTGATTGGTTGTTCGAGTGTTTGAGAACATTCCATGACGAATTGTATAATACGTTTAATACCATATTGTGGAGCAAGCCAATCAGGATCTAAACAAACAGCTTGTAGCCAAGATTTTAATGTTTGTTCAAATGAATCCTGTAAAAATGTAGCGAAATGGAGAGTGGGTGAGAGAGACAGACGGACAGAGACAGGAATATTAAAGATTCCAATTGTGAAAATTAGAACAACAACCGATATAAGCGAACAATATTGTTGTTTTCGATTAGATCGTTATCAGGCTGCTTTACTCTATAATATACATGGATATTTATATATGAAAATGTTAAACCAATCAAAGCTCCCGTGGAGATAGCTATATCGGGCGTACTTCCAGGCAACTTACACAACGAATGAGTGAACATCTCCCAGCATGGTTTACGAAGGGTCAGTCAGAAACAATACGCAGTTCTATCTTAGCACACCTGATAGATAGTGGTTACATTGTAGATAAATGTAGATCTTTTCGGGTGATCTATCGTATACCTCCATCATTTACCAACGGAGTTCGATCCCGTCTCCTACACACATAACAGAAGCCATAGGAATACGTACATTCAACCCCAATTTATGTGTTCAGAAGAAATTCGTGACATCCCTATCTCTTCCGATGCCGGATATGACGTAACTAACGATTGACATTATATTTTTCACTTTATTTTTACATGTTTGCTTATTACGTAATGGTTTTGATGTTTTTTTGATGATTATTTGAAGTCTATTCATCTACGTTTGACCTACTATTGATAAAAGACGTGACCAGTGAAGTTCAACCTGTTCGGGTGTAGAACAGTAACTACCGAAGACTGTGTATGAGGTTGCGCAACTCCGTGAATTGATCAACTTAGACATTAACATCGTTAGATACCGGCTCAGTGGTCCAATGGTTAGGCGTTCGCCTACAATGCCGAAGGTCCTGGGTTCGAATCCTGCAGGGTGCAGGAGTCGTGGGTGCGCAATGCTGAGGAGTCCCATACCAGGACGAAACGGCCGTCCAGTGCTTCCAGGGTTCTAGTGGTGGTCTAACATTGATCGATTCATGCTTTCAAAAATGTGTAACTTAACAATCTTCACAACTCCGTAATGCAAAACTTTAGTTATCATATTTTATAATTTTCTTACTACTATGAGTAAACCTGTCTTCCTACTATCCACTTGTACTTTTGCCTATTACATATAGTGACGTAATCTTTTTCATTTCATTGTGATTATGACTAAAATTGCCTTGATTGGTTTAACATTTTCATATAAATATTCATGTATATTAGAGTAAAGCAGCCTGATGACGATCTAATCGAAAACAGAGACAGGAGAAGGAGAATTTTTAATGTGAGGTTGAACTTGTTTATTTGAGATTAGACTTAGAGTTGGCATAAAATTATATTGAAAACGATGAAGTCATTATTAAGCGATTATTTTTGTTTTGCAGTATAAGGAATCTGCCTGGAATGTAGGTACATTCAGAAGATAAGTCCCAAACCTGGCAAAATATACATTTGAGTTTGTTTTCATTTTAACTTACGTCAGTCAGTCAGTCAGATACAACATAGAACTGTGTACTGACGTACATCAGTTTTCAAGTTGTCATAACATCACATTAGCACAGACAGATGGAATCATCATTTCGAATCCCATAAATAGTAGAGATAATAGAAGTATAGCAGTAATGAACGAGATTAGGGATCGAAGATATGAATCGAGACGCATAACGCAGTGAAATAAACTTCAAAAGAGAAAGACAATGGTTGTGAGGAATCGGGAAGATTAGAATTCGAGAGGAGGCAAAGAATGGATGAATTTACACCACAGCATACGATTTTGAGCCATGTCATTCAAGGTCTCTAACCATCGGTTACTATTAACTTGAGGACCCTATCCAAATAGTCTAAAACTATCAACGTGGTTCAGTCTAGTTGTCAGTAACTTGATGGATTTATGCCATGTTTTGGTTTGGCTGCCCCTAGCTTTCTTCTAACCTACCCCTACACCACAAAACATCGCTGGTTCAGGTAGCAACAACTTATCTACAACCGCTGTACTTTTATTACTGCTGAGCTTGTATGCTCATGCCTGCTTACGAATTGTTTAACGCCTTCACACACATATTCATTCTACTAGCTTTAACGATTAGTTGTTTAAATAATTCGATAACAGTATCGACTATTTTTTTATATTTGACATAATAATTCGATAATTGTATCGATCATTATAAATATTTCTGAATACTAAAGTGAGTTGTGACAATGACTAGCGGTTTTATAGTTAAAACTTAGTGGATTTTCATCAGTTTAAGTAATTGGAACGTGTGTTAGGCATGCCCAACCGACCAACGACTGTCTCAATGAGTGAGTGATGTTTTGTGGTGTAGGAGTAGGCTAGAAAAAAGCTAGGGACAGCTAGATCAGGACACAGCAGAAATCCATGAAGTCACTGATAACTGGACGGAGTTATGTAAGGTAAGTGTAGACTACCTGGTTAGGGTCCGCTAGGTGATAATAACCGTAACCATTATCTTTCTCTTTTGAAGTTTATTTCACTGGGTTATTCATACCTCTCGAATCATATCTTTGTACCCCAATCTTCTCCAGTCAAGTAATAAATTATCCCCAACTACTTAAATAGAATTGGACAGAGATGAAATGAGATTGAGATTTGAGACCAACTTAGCTGAAGAAATCCATCAAGTAGGGTTTATACCTCTCTACCAAAACCCAAAATCAAACCGTCAATGACTTGATGGTTTTAGATGAAAATCATGTCGGTGGATGTAAACTATGACTCTGCCTGTAGACCCTTCGGGGCTACTGCCGGTCCCAAGCCCGGATTAAGGAGAAGGGTTGGCGACCCCATCCCGTCAAAAAAACTAACTTGCTAAAAAAAACGCTAACCAGAAGAAATAATTCAAACCATTTTAACTCTGCCCCGGGAGTTGGAAGAAGAATTATGACGTCGCGTGATGACAAAATACTTCGGATTCGTTGGCCAGACACCATCAGCAACAACCTACTGTGGGAGAGAACAAACCAGATTCCAGTGGAGGAGGAAATGAGGAAGAAGAAGCAGCAAACTGCGTCACAAGACAAGCTGTCACTTGGAACCCCCAAGGCAATAGGTAAAGAGGAAGGCCAAGGAACACATTACACGCCGAGAAATAGAGAAATATATGAGAAGAATGAACAAAAATTGGACAGAACTGGAAAGTAAAGCCCAAGACAGAGTTGGTTTGAGAAAACTGGTTGGCAGCTTATGCTCCATTGGGGGTAACAGGCATAAGTAAGTAAGTAAGTAAGTAAGGATGTAAACTATATGGTTTGGGGTCTGCAAAATGACTGTAACTCGTAATTATTAAAGACTTCGAGCAATATAACTCTCAATTTTTAATACATTCATTTCTACTCTGTCATTTCCTGGCCTATTATTCCCAATGTTCAATCTTTCTCATTCTCATCATTATTTCTATTGTTTTACTATTCCCCCTTGTCAGTTTCATCTCATCATGCTAATCTCATCCAACAACTTGAGCGAATACGAATATATATTGTTCTTATGCTCTGCAATCATTGTAACTGATTAACTAGTTCGTTTAATTGGTTTTGTAATGTCTCGCAGACCCCAAGAAGGTAGGATTGACGGCGAAGTTGTACTACTGACTGTAGGCGGCTGTGATAGCACTAAGGTGCTTCCCTCAGGCAATCGGCATCTGAATCAATGCTGCCGTCTCAAAACGGGAGGAATGGATTAGAAAAAGTCGACCATAACAATGTCACACCTCACCTTACCTCACAGATTTCCATCTCCGTCGGTAAGGCCACTTGGAGAGCAGAGGTAACAATTTAAAAACTTCCCATAAAAAGGCCGTGTGTGACCAGCCTCAAGCAGTTTTCCTCTGGGCTCTGCGGTCACACTCCCAGGGTTGTTGAAACCAACACTAATCCAACCTCCTTTACAAGTTCCTCAAGAAACACCATTCCACAGTATGAGCAGCCGAGAAGTAACATCCACAGTCAGTCAGTCAGTCAGTTGCAACGTAGAACTTCGTACGTAAGTACATCAGTTCATGTTGCCATACTACACATCAGCACAGAGATGTAATTGTCAATTCAAATCCAATAGTAGAAGAGGTAGTAAAAGTATTAGAAGTAATCGGAGAGGTTACAATTAGAAGATATTATTCAAGAAGTATGATTCAGTGAGAAAAGTTTACAAAGTCACAACTAGAGGTGTTAAAGAATCCAGAAGATTAGGATTTGACAGAACACAAAGAATAGATGCACCGGCGTCATTGCGAACGATTTTGAGCCATGTCATTCAAGGTCTCTAACCATCGGTAAGTATCATCTCGCGGACCCCAACCAGGTAGTCGACAATTACCGACATGGCTCAGTCCACTAGTCAATGACTTCATGGATTTCTGCCATCTTTTGGTTTGGTCGCCCCTAGCTTTCTTCCAACCTATTCCTACACTACAAAACAAAGGTCGACGAGGCAGTCGGTGGTTGGGCATACGCAACACATGTAGTAACATCCACCCTCATATCCGTATAACAAAAAAACCACACGAAACCGAATTGATCACACACTTTTGTTATAGGGAAAAACAAAACAAAAGACCAAATATCAGCACAATGAAAAATGATCTTCTCTCTTACTTACTTGATAATGCCATGCTAAACCACGATTATAATGAAAATTTGGTTCTAATGCAATGACACGATCTTTCACCGCTTGTGCATAAGCAGCTAAACATCGTGTCATAATCAATTGCGGTGATGATAACAATGAGGAAGCTGACGCTGATTTTGATGCAGATGATTTATTTTGTTCACTACATGACATGGATGAATTGAAATTTTTAAAAAATAACGTCAACAGCGCATTGCCTAATACAGACCATGCATGTCCATTATTCGGTTGTTGACTAACTGCTTTATGTGCTAAATCAACAGATTGATGAAAAATAGAATAGTTTGTCGTTGTGGTCGCCGTCGTCGTCGTCGTCGTTGTTGACGTCGTTGTTGGCGATGGTAATGGTGACTGTCTGTCTGGTGGCGATGATGATGATGATGTCAACGAGGGTTTGGTTTTAGTTGACTCAGATGATGACAGTACATGATCAATAGTCTGGTTAATATGAGTAGTATTAGTAGTAGCAGGTAGTTGACGTAATACCATTGACAAATTACAAAGTGCTTTTACATGTTTTGGCTAAAAAAAAAGATTGTGAAAACAAAAGAAATGAATTTACCGATTTTATACACACTTGAAACACCAGTGTAACGAAATCATTTAAGAGAGACTTGTGCATATGTAAGTAGTACATAAGTTCAAGTTACCATACCACATTAGAACAGAGAACCAATTGCCAGTTCAAAATCCTATAATGGTAGCGATAGTAGAAGTATTAGCAGTAATGAAGAAGATTAGGGTATAATAATCCAGTGAGATAAAGTTAGAAAGAGAAAGATAGAGATGATGAGGAATTCTGAAGATTAGAAATTGATAGAACACAAACAGTGGATGCACCTGCACCATTGCAAACGATTTTGAGCCATGTCGTTCAAGGTCTCTAACTATTGGTGACTTTTGTCTCGCGGTCCCCAACCAGATAGCCTACATCTACCAACATGACTCAGTCCACTTGTTAGTGATTTCATGGATTTCAGCCATGTTTTGGTCTGGCTGCCTCTAGCCTTCTTTCAACCTACTTCCACCATACCACAAAACATAGTTCTCCGAGGTAGTCGGTGGTTAGTTAGGCATACGTAACATACGTCTTATTCTAAATATAATTTACGCAGCTCGAAATGACCACAACAGCACCGTCATCATCAATAGAGGAGAAGATGAAATGAAATTGTCAATCGTCAAACTATCTCACAACACATTATTCGTTTAATATGAGACATGAATTTATTGCTTTGATGGTTGGTTCTTTTCAGTCAAACAAACACCATAGAGTAGAGCTGAGATAACAAAATCGATTCGTCTAGAAAGATTTATTCTGTGTGTGTTTGTGTGTGAACAAGGTCAAGGTGGTTTCTTTTTCAGCTTTTGTGATCATCATCAATAGAAACGTAGAACTTCGTACGTACGTAAGTACATCAACTCAAGTTGCTATACCACATTAGAACAGAGACGCATTTGTTGATTTGAATCCCACAGTAGTAGAAGTATTAGCAGTAATCGAGAGATTAAAGTTTGAAGATATTATCCAAGAAGTAGTACCTAGTGAAATAAACTTAAAAAGAAAAAGATAAAGATGCATATGCACCATTGCGAACGATTTTGAGTCATTTCATTCAACGTTTCTAACCATCGATTACTATCATGTCAAACAGGTAGTCGATACCTACCAACATTACTCAGACCACTTTTCAGTGACTTCATGGATTTGTGCCGTGTTTTGGTCTGGCTGCCCCTAGCTTTCTTTCAATTTATTCCTACATCGCAAAACATAGCTCAACGAGGCAGTCAGTGGTTGGGCATATGTAACATGTCCCAACCACCTCAACTGATGAAGGTTCACCACTTCATTTATTGGTCTTTCATCCTTATCTAGCACCCATTTCCTAACAACAGAATTGCTTACAGCTTTTGTAATAATGTTGCTACGATAAACAAAAAATTCTTCTCAACAGGTTAGACAGATAAATATAGAAATGAAATGTAATGTCATTTGCACAGATGTAACTTTACACGCCAGAGTAAAACGAATTACAAACTAGTGCAATGCACAAAACACTGTCAAACTCAAAACAGAAACGTTGTAGTTCTTTCTTGAAACGATTTCCGTTCAAAGATTAGGCGTACGCGCACGCAAGACAGAAGGTCCTGGTTTCGAAGCCTGCGAGTAGCAGGAGTCGTGAATGCACACTGCTACTGATGAGTTCCACCCATACAAGGATGAAACGGCCGTCCAGTACTTTCAGGTTTCTAATCGTAGTTTAACAATAATTGATTGGTGATAATTCAACGTGTAAGAAAACATTGATCTCTATAACTCTAATTGAAAAAATAAGTCTTTATCAAAACACCATAGTGCAATTCAAGCACCTTTTATATTATATGATGAATGATGGACATCGTTGCAGCAGTTGAACTAACGAAAAACTTTGCCAATTGAAGAACGTGTTAGGTTCTTTACTTGAGTAACGCCCAAAACCACTATATATGGACGGTCCCCGAACGTTAGAATCTCCACAACGTTGTAAAATAAGAAGACGAAACACGTTGGAGAGCACTTATTGACGGAATCAAAAATATATACAAGAAAACATGCGTATTTATACAATTATACATATATAATCGATATTGCCATGGAAGTTTTTAAACATTTAACCGATAACTTCATCGATCGACTGCCTCCATTGAATATTTAAACATTTAATCGATAAGTTCGTCAATCAACTATGTGCGTAGGTGGCTTCTCGATGACTATCCAAACAGAATGCTAGTTACCTAGATTTTTGTCGATTGTTGTTGGTCAAACTAAGCTTTGTTGATGATGATCGGATTCAGACTACACTATATTACAAAATAAGTCAGTCAGTCAGTCAGTTACAACGTTGAACTTCGTACGTAAGTACATCAGTTCAGGTTGCCATAGCACATCAGCACAGAGATGCAACTGTCAATTCAAATCCAATAGTAGAAGAGGTAGTAAAGGTATTAGAAGTAATCGGAGAGGTTAGGATTAGAAGATATTATTCAAGAAGTATGATTCAATGAGGAAAGTTTAGAAAGTCAAAACTAGAGGTGTTGAAAAATCCAGAAGATTACGATTTGAGAAAACATAAAGAATAAATGCACTGGCGCCATTGCGAACGATTTTGAGCCATGTCATTCAAGGTCTCTAACCATCGATTATTATCATCTCGCGGACCCCAATGACTTCATGGATTTGTGCCATGTTTTGGTTTGGCCGACCCTAGCTTTCTTCCAACCTACTCCTACACTACAAAACAAAGCTCGTCGAGGCAGTCGGTGGTTAGGCATACGTAACACATGTCCCAACCACATCAACTGATGAAGTTTCATTACTTCATCTATTGATCTGCCATTCTTACCTATCACCTGCTTCTTAATAACAGCATCGCTTACTCGGGTGTCCCACGATATACGAGCAATGCTTCGAAGACACATCTGATCGAAAACCAGTAACCTACGAATATCTTCTACTCTCACTGGCCATGTTTCACAGCCATAAAGTAAGACGGAGCGAACTACTACACAGTACACTCGTCCCTTAGTCAGCAAACGGATATCTCGCCTACGCCATAAGTGACGCAGGTTGGCAAAAGCCAATCGAGCCTTCTGTATCCGAGCTGAGATTTCGTCAGTCACCAGGCCATCAGCACTGATGAGACTTCCAAGATAAATGAAGCGGTCTACACGTTTGACTACTTCATTACCTATCACTAGTTCAGGTGACGATGCAACCCAATCTTGAAGCAACATTTTGCAAGAAGATTACTGTTCGAAGCTACGATTCGAGAAGTATAATTCACTGAGATAGTTTTAGAAAGAGAAAGATAGAGATGATGAGGAATTCGGAAGTTTAGAATTTTATAGAACACAAAGAGTGGATGCACCTGCACCATTGCAAACGATTTTGAGCCATTTCCATTCAAAGTCTCTAACCATCGGTGACTATCATCTCGCGGACCTCGACCAAGAGGTAGCCTACATCTACCAACATGACTTACTTAGTCCACTTGTCAATTTTGCATTAACGGAGTAACATGGTAAGAGGATGTAAAGAACAGTGGTGAGTTGTAGAGAGAAGAAAGATGTTAGAAGCTACAGGAAAGATTTGATCACATGACCAATTTGGTCTCTCACAAACAAACAAACTAAAAATCAATCAATTTATAGAAGACGCATACATCAATTTTCAATGCTTGTTGAAAATGATCAGCCGCTTGGTCAGGATCACCTTGTCGCCAACATGTATCACCTAATTCACACCATGCTTCCGTATGTTGTGGATTAAATTTCAATGCTTTTGTTAACCAATGAATTGCTTGACTAGTGAAATCATTGACATTATTATTGTTATCAGCATCAGCATCCGCATTCGCCTCACCATCAATCTCACCATCATCATGAGCATCAGTAGTAACAGCAGCAGCATCATCAACATCATCATTGCCGCCATCATGCTGACCATCATCACCATCGTCATCTTCTTCATTACTATTTGAATTGTGAACATGATTATTGTTATCTGTGTACAAATCGGAATCCATTGCATTGAAAGCCTGTGTAGATATATATATATAGACATAGATATGTAGATAAATATATTTTGATTTTATAAAGGTCAAATCTTGTTTGTTTTATAATATAAAGAAAAAAGACAGAAGTACAAGGTTACTAGGTACTAGTAGGTTACTAGTACTCGATCACAGGTGTATCCGAAGCATTGCTCGTGTATCCTGGGACAACTGAGTAAGCAATGCCTATTGTTAAGAAATGAGTTCTAGGTAAGGATGGCAAATCAATAGGTGAAGTAGTGAAACTTCATCAGTTGAGGTGGTTGGGACATGTGCTGCGTATGCCTAACGACTGACTGCCTCGATGAGTGATGATTTGTGGTGCAGGAATAGGTTGGAAGAAAACTAGGGGCGGCAAGACCAAAACATGGCAGAAATCCATGAAATCACTGGCAAGTGGACTGAGTCATGTTGGTAGATGTAGGCTATCTGGTTGGGGTCCACGAGACGAAAGTCACCAATGGTTGGAGACCTTGAACGACATGGCTCAAAATTGTCTGCAAAGGAGCAGGTACATCCACTCTTTGTGTGCATTTTAATTCTAACCTCCTGAATTCCTCATAATCACTATCTTTCTCCTTCTAAATTTATCTCACTGAATTATACTTTTCGAATCATATATTCGCTCCCTAATCTTATCCATTACTGCCAATACTTCTACTATCACTATCACCCTTGAATTTGAAGTGACAGTTACGTCTCTGTGCTGACGTGGTATGGCAACCTGAACTGATGTACTTATGTATGAAGTTCTGCGTTGTATCTGTCTGTCTGTCTGACAGGCACAATCGAAGATATCCAATGACATGAAATCCACCGGTTGTTATTCAGGCTATCTGATTAAGATCCGCGAGACGAAAGTCGCCGGTGGTTAGAGACCTTGAATAGAAATGGCTCAAAATCGTTGTCATTGACTTCATAGATTTGTGCAATGTTTTGGTTTGGTCACCCCCGGCTTTCTTCCAACCTACTCCTACACCACATAAACGTCGCTCGACGATGCAGTAGGTGGTTCAGCATACGTGACACATATCCCAACCATCATAACTGATGCCGTTTCACTACCTCAGCTATTGATATGCCATCCTTACCCAGTAGTCGTTTCCTAACAACAGCATAGCTTACTCCATTGTCCCAGGATACACAAGCAATGCTTCGGAGTCACTTATGATCGAAAACCAGTAACCTACGAATATCTAGTCTTATTGGTCAGAAAGTAGGAAGGAGCGAACTGCTGCGTCGTACACTCGTCTTCTGGTTAACAAACGAATATCCCGCCTACGCCATAAGTGACGGAGATTTTCAAAAGCCAGTCGAACCTTCTGTATCCGTGCTGAGATTTACTCAGTCATCAGGCTATCAGCGCTGATGAGACTCCCCAGATAAGTGAAGTGATTAACACGCTCGACTACTTCACTCCCTATCACTCGTTCAGGTGCCGACGCAACCCGATCTTGAAGCAACCTTTTGCATTTCTAGGAGGAAAACCGCAACCCGAACATGCTTGCATTGTTGCTTAAGGTAATCAGAAGAATAGAACAATGTCATTGGCATATTCTAGGTTGATAAGCGAGCCTCCTGGTGAAAGATCCACTCCTGAAAATTCAGACAATAATAATGTTATCTCTAAAAGCATGTTTATGATAAAGCTAAACAAGGATGTAGAAAGCAGACATCCTTGGCGAACATCACTCGAAGTACTTAATTCCGATGACAGTTCCTCATAAGCTCTCACTTGACCATTAGTATTCGAGTAGAGAGCTTGTATAGGGTTAATATACTTCTTTGGTACAACTTTTAATGACAGAAACTACCACAGAAGCTCACAATCGACAGTCGAAAGCCGCTTTACACTCGAGAAATACTACACTATTGTAAGAAGTCTGAACATGTGCCTATGTTCTAAGAACCTAACATAGTGTGAATATCTAATCTGAACATCCACGTTACCGATGCGAAACATGGCCGTTAAGAGAAGAGGACATTCATAGGTTACTAGTCTTCGAATCATATCTTCGAACCCTAGTCTTCTCTATTACTGCTAATACTTCTATTATTGCTATCACTCTTGGATTTGAACTAACAGTTACGTCTCTGTGCTGATGTGGTATGGCAACCTGAACTGATGTACCGTACGTACGAAGTTCTGCGTTGTATCCGTCTGTCTGTCTCTATGTCTGTCTGTCTATACATCCACGTCCAGGTCAAAAACCAACCACCTGAGTTTTCTCTAGTGTTATATGTTATGTTATGTTATATTTAGTTACAAATTTCATACAATAGGATCATTGAAAACAATCGGATGATCAAAAATTGTTGAACAAAAACACAAAAACACTCACTTTACCATATTGATAACAAAATTCCGCTTTATCTAGTACAGGTGCATGTCTCAAAACCGATTCATATTGTTTGAATAAATTAATTGTATTGAAAAATGTCAATTGAATTAATTCATGTTTAGTTTTATTCAATTCACATGATTTCATAATGATTGAATGAATATGATCAGGATCATGATGATGATGATTAGTTTTCATCCAAAATTCACTTGTTACAGTATTATTATCTAATAATACATTAAATTGATTGACAAATTCATTAAGAAATTTATTTTTTATATCATATAAATGATCTACACTAGATTGAATAATAGTTAAACTATTTTTATTCCATTGTATAAGAGGATTATCTGGTTCTGCTGTTGTTGGTGTTGTTGTTTTTAATGATAATGTTGATGATGGTAGTTCTTCAAGTTGTATCATCTTTTTTTTTTGTTCTTGTGAAATCTAAGAAGAGGAGGAGAAAAAATAAAACAGAAATAAGTAGAAAGAAGAAGAAAGGAGAAGCATAAAAATAGACAGTCAGTCAGTTGCAACGTAGAACTTTGTACGTATGTGTATATATATAAGTTCAGGTTGCCCCATACCACACATTAGCGTACAAAGATGCAAATATCAAATCAAATCCCATAGTGATAGTAGAGATAGTAGAGGTATTAATGGTAGTAATGAAGAAGACTACAGGGTTTGAAGATATTATTCAAGAAGTATAATTCAGTAGAGGTGCTGACGAATCCAGAAGATTAGGATTTGAGAGAACACAAAGAATGGATGCACTTACGCCGTTGCAAACGATTTTGAGCCATGTCGTCCAAGGTCTCTAACAAATGGTGACTTTCGTCTGGCGGACTTCAACCACGTAGCCTACATCTACTAACATGACTCAGTCCATACTTGTCAGTGACTTCATGGATTTGTACCCTGCTTTGATCTGGTCGCCCCCAACCTCTCTTCCAACCTATTCCTACACCACAAAACATCGCTCATCGAGACAGTTAGTGGTTAGGCATACGTAACAACACATGTTCTAACCACCTCAACTAATGAAGTTTCACTACTTCATCTATTGATTTGCCATCCTTACCTAGTACTCACTTCCTAACAACAGCATTGCTTACTCAGTTGTCCCACAATATACGAGCAATACTTCTAAGATATCTATAATCGAATACTAGTAACATCTACGAACATCTTCTACTCTTAACGATTATGTTTCATAGTCATATAAAAGAACGAAGCGAACTGTTGCGTAGTAAGTAGTACACCCATCCTTTGGTTAGCGAACGGACAAGACACACACACACAAAAAAAGAAAACATTCAACTTAACACTATCAATGAAAAGTTCAAGTGAAAGTGTAGAATTAGTTTAATAGTATTATGAATCAAACAACTTACTTGGTAAGTAAATGAAAAATAATCATAATAATAATAATAATAATAATAATAATAATAATAATAAATCACTCATTCACAATATAAGAGAATTCAATAAAACAAACAAAAGGAAAACAACATTGCATTCAATTTATTTTTTTTTTATTTCTGTGAATTAAAACTAACTATTATAGATTGATTAGTAAAATAAATACAATTCATGAACATTTAGTAGCAGTTGGAGCAGTAGTAGTATTAGTAGTAGTAGTAGTCGGAGTAGTAGTAGTAGTGTGAGTAGTAGTAGTAGTCGGAGTAGTAGTAGTAGTGTGAGTAGTAGTAGTAGTAGTAGTAGTAGTAGTATTAGTAGTAGTAGTATTCGGAGTAGTAATAGTAGTAGTATTAGTAGTAGTAGTAGTAGTAGTCGGAGTAGTAGTAGTGTGAGTAGTAGTAGTAGTAGTAGTAGTGTGAGTAGTAGTAGTAGTAGTAGTAGTAGTAGTATTAGTAAGTATGATTACTACTATCTTTTTTAACTTGACAAACATTTAACAATATCATCACGTCGAGATTTAAGTGTCTGAAATTGTATTACAATAATATCATAATGCACTGAAGATTGTAATGTTAAATTTTCAACATTTATATTAAAAGATTTTTTCGCATCAAATTCTAAATCCAAAGCATAATTTTCACATAAATTTACAGTTGTTATGGAATATTTTAAAGTATACATAGCACGTTGTATAATTTTTTCTAAACGATCCATGTCTAAAGTAAGTTTATACCGTTGTACATCATATTTTAATTTATCAATTTTATTACGTTGATAAGTAAGTTGGTGCAAATCAACTATAAGTTTACGAAATTCATCAAAAAGATCATTTATAAAATTAACTGTAGATTTTACATGTAAGAAAGATGATATTAATGGTTTATTTCTAGTGTAAAAATTAGTTAATATTGCATGTTTAACAGAAGTATGACATAATTTTATAGGATTCATTAAATTGGGAATTGTTGCATAATTTTTTCCATATCTTCCAGATAAACAACAAATTGATGGATGAAGAAACAATTTAAAAAGTTTCCCTTCCAACATGTGGTATTATTTCTGAAGTCAAAGTTAAGAGAACACGAAAAACAGAGAGAAAAAAAACTGTCAAATTCTTAAGGAAGTGTAACCGATTATACATGACTAAAAATTTGTTAGTGTGTTCCAGTAAGGTGAAATAAGATCTCAAGTTTTCATGAATATTTACATATTATAGCTAACACAAACAAAATAAATGCTGACAATAGAAAATGACAATTTCAGCATACATCAATTGACAATCACAGTGACTATCACTGACACTCACTCTTAGTGGTTGGCTATAGGAGATATTCCTGAAGTTTTCGTATTTAGGAAGCTGTGATAACTGATGTTTTTCTTTGGATTAATCCAACCATAATGAAAGAGATGGATTTAGGCTGTTTGGGTCACTTACGTTTGGTGCCGTTATGATGCCAGTGTAATTATTAAAAGAACTAAGAGTACAATGTTGTGGCCTGAGTTCTCCTTTACGCCAGTCAAACATGACTTCATTGAAATGAGTATGTTTTAAAACTCCTTGTGTACAGATTTCATTGGCTCGAGAATACTTCTTATGGTAGTGAATAATTAATGCTGAGGTTTGGAGAGTGGTTTATTACATTTGAGATAAAGGTTTGGTCAGATGCCGTATTAGGATTTTAGATCTTCAAGCTTAAACAATCTTTATATATGTAGCTCAAGTGAATTCCTTATCTAGTATTACTAGACCATTGATATCGAACTCGTAAAAGTGATCTGTTTATGATATAGCATTTAGGTGTAAAAGTTTTACTTACATGCCACTTATTGATATAATGTAACTAACAGTACAACAGATGAACATAATCCAAATCACTGACTTTAAATATTGTCAGATTTGGTGGGAACATGTCAGTGATGACTAGTCTGTAGTTATTAGCTGTATCTAAGATGTTTTCATGAGACAACTGTAATCTAACTTAGATACATTCATATTACTAATGAGGCAGTGATTCGGCAATCAAAGTACTCGGTCTTAAACTGGTGAATCCCAGTAGCGAATTTCAATGAAATCGGCGAAATTTGGGAATGTTACTAATTTTTCAGCTTAGTTTAATTAAACGCTTACATTTATAATCGACGAGTAGCAAAGACTTTTCTAAATTGGTCTGAGCCAATTGCTACGAAAGCTTAAATATGCATATATATACATATATATACATAAAATTCGGGGGTTATTTTTGAATATAAGTTGCAATTTAAATAGAAATAATCCGAAGTCACATACACACTAATCCATATCAGGTGACATACAAATTCAAAAGTAACTCCCAACTAAGTAAACTTAGTGCAATAGAGAAACATTTATCGGACATTACCAAAAAACAGGAGCTGAACGGTGAAAACAAGAATCGAATGCAAAGAAACCGAAAAGTTTATACTAGCTTATGAAAAATATATTCGATAAACAACTACACAAGCGGAACAATTTGTTATTACTCTCTGCAATCGAACTGTCTAATTCTGCTACCAGTGGCAGTTCCATAATTTTGCGTTGTTCTACTATATTATTGAGGACAATACAATCTTAAATAACTCAATTTAGAGGACTTATGTTGACAGACACCTTCCGTAATTAAAACTCCGTACACTATGGAAATAAAGATAGAAAAACCTTAAGATACTTAGGTGTGCTAATATAATGAACACTTCTAAAGACGACATCTTCAAAAAGTTTATAGGAAGAGCGTCACCATTACCGTAACTAAGATCCTAGTAAGTAACTCGTCATTTTAAAAACACAACAACAAGTGTTCAGTATCAAATATACGGTTCAATGCCATTTCACGAGCTAGTATAAACCAGCTATCCAATATCTTTTTCAAGAGCTAGTATAAATTAATTTAGTTCTTTCCGCTCGATTCTTGTTCGTTCGGCACGGTTTCAGGCGATTGGTAGTGTCCAAAGAACGGGGGTCTAGCCACTCGTCTATCTAATTCTAGTCAGTTGGCAGATGTTTGTAAGTTTGTATGTCCTATGATTTGAATGAATATGTTTGGTTCAGGGCAGCAGAGTTTCCGGATACCAGTAGCCATCACATTACCAGACTGGAGATCAGTTAGTTACAATATGGAGAATAATAAGGTGGGTGGTCTGTTAAATTTAGTGTGATAAATTACAGACAGAACATTCTGGCGCCAAAAGACGACCAGTTTTTTCAATACCTAAGTAGATAAATTCTTTAATTACTAATGCAAATGGTGCGGAAGTTTCAAGTTGTAAAGCTAAAAATTAGAACTGTGATAATATTAGGCAAAACAAGATAACTAAGAAAGCAACAGTGACAACAATAAAAAATTTTCGAGAAGTGCACCAAGCATAACTGGTCGGAGGATGACAACCCGAATGTAGGATAGCGTATGTCAAGTTCCCTTTTGAAGCTATCCACTGAATAGCTCATGATCACCTTGGCCGGTACAGAATTTCTAGTGGGCGCGACACCTAATGAGAAAAAGAGGAGGCGCACTTAAAATTTCAGTCTTTGATGTGCAACTTTTCAAGGTTTACCTCGAGTGGTGCGGTGATGATAACTGGTAGGATGCTTGCATTGGGGTGGATTAGAGTATTAATATGTAGCGCGCTGTTATCACTATTATTCGGCGGAAATAATGCAAAGTTCAGGAGTCGATTTTCGCAAGGTTTATTCTCTAACCTTATCAGTCAGTTGTTCCCCTTTGCAGTCGGTCAATAAGATTTTTTAAGTTTGTAACAACATTGTGAACTTCGAAGAGGTGCCATTGGTATGTTTTAAAAATAGTAAGGAACAGTTCTGTGGTGACTGTTACAAGATAATTTCACAGAAATTCAAGGCTCTATGTGGTTACCGTACCCAGGTGGGGGTCTGAGGAGACATCTGGAAATGTACTTCAATGGAGGACACAAGCTGTTTGTCTCACATGGGGCACAATGTTCATGGCATTATATTCCAACTGGTTAACTTTTAATCCGTTGAATACTCACTATTCTTGATCGTTAGGGGGAAGATTGATCTGATATATTCTGATTCCGCAGGCATTTGGTTGAACCAACATGTTATTTGTTTTAACAATAAGCTCGAACGTGATGGAATCAAGTCAATCTTAAAAGGCCTGAAGGTTCCACGGATACTCAGAATTTAACTAGGATTTTGTTTGTAACATCATTTAAACACAGAACACCAAAATCGATTCAAACTGAAAGTTAACAATGAAGATCGAACGTATATCTGAAGAATGGTCGGCATGTTGAAGTGATTGAACTAAGCCCTTTAGCTGATCCTGGATTTATTTGCCGACACAGGCTAGTCTAAATCATGTCTAAATAACAGACTTTTCAGGTTAAGCTAAGCTGACACTACAAAGTTGTCCATATAAGACGTTCTCCAGGCTTTACATACTGCTTGGGTTACTTCCTTGTAAAGGTGTCCTAAATAGAGAAAGATACCCTATGATCTAAAGCATTCTACCAACTAAGAAAAAATGCCTTTCCTCCAAACCCTGTATTTGACCGCTTTGAAATATGTACATATAGTGTCTACTACCTCACTCCAAAATGACAAGAATATAGTCGAACATATCAGAAGGGGAGCCAAGAAGTCATTTGTAATACTCAAATTCAAATCTTATGAATAGTGCCTCAAATCACCCGATTTGTGTCTATCTCATAGATTTCTTGCTGATGACTTATAACATCCTAATAACTCCTGATCACCTCAAATACTTATTCAAGCTCAGTCTTAGAACAAATCTTAAGGCCGATACCCGGCAAGTAGATGTGCAATATCGCGGTATGAACTATAGACTGACCTTCTACACTTTACGAGCAGTCTTATTTTAGAATCTGCTGACAGCTGAACTAGTTCAAGAAGCTTCCTTGGAATCCTTCGAAAAAATGCCTCTTAAGAACTTAGGATAGTATCTCGTTGTAACTTAATTACCCATGCCTACTGCCATCATTGGGACATGATCCGCCGACTAGCATTCTCCAGCATACAGTGTCCTCTATAATCCTTTCCGGTTGTTCCCAATTGCTGTTCATTCTATTCACGTCCACTTCCAAGTCTTGGAGTGATGTGTTACTTAGTCTTTCACTTCTGCTGTAGCTTTAAGGATTACATATGAGGGCTTGCCTTGCGACACAGTTTGGCGATTTCTTCAATGTGTGTCCTATCCACCTACATTGAAATTTCCCAACTTCTTCCTCAGTTGGAATCTGGTTTGTTTCCCTCACTTTCCTACAGATATTGATCTCATTAAAATCCACTCGATCATCAGGAGAGAGGGTAAGGGTGAGAGTAAGCAAACTCATCTAACACCGGTTTTCACTTGGAATGGGTCTGACAGCTACTCTTCATTTACGATTTTGTGATGGTCAGTTATAGTTATTCCGTATGATGTTGGCTAGCATCTAAGGCACGCCATAGAGTCGAAGAAGCCTCCATATTGTCATCCTTTACACGCTGTCAATTTCTTTTTCGTAATCAATAAAGTTAATTTATAGTGGTCAGTTCTATTCCACAATGCTTTATAGTGTCACAATTTGGTTGGCACACGACTGGCCCGTACGAAATCCAGCCTGCTGATCTCGAAATTGAGAGTTTACTGGATTACTAGCACTCTGCTAAATACTTGTTCTGATATCGATATAAGCGTGTGTAGAATCCGTTTGGAATGCTTTGTGTTTTGGAAAATCCCTCCATGTTTACATATTTTTGCTATGACATGACGGACCTTTTCTGTTGACATTTTTGGTATTTTATTTGATTCCAATTTGAGATTTTATCATTGTATATTGTTATTCTTTCTATATTCTGTACTTGTATTGAAGTTTTTGTGTTTGCTTCTGAACTGTACGTATGTTGTTTAAATTTGATATAATATGGCTACCGCCACAATTTTGGATTCATCATCGTGCAGTATAGGAGTTCATCTAGACCTTGGCACATTGATACTCGTTCGGAGTAATTCTGAATTGGAAGACGTAATATTAGTTAGGTATTATTTGTATTTCCATTTGTTATTTGTAAATAGACCATTTCCCCTAGAATTATTGTGTTTTAATTTCAAAATCGGGAAGTGCGTCCAACCTATGTCTATTGGAATCGAACTGAACTGTCACGATGGAGAATTCAACTACAGCGTGATGAATCTGTAGTTCTCACACTTGCTGAGATCACCCTTCTTTGGTTTCTCAATCAGGTGTCTTTATTTCTAGTATGTTGGTGTTTGTTCTTTCTCCCAAATCTTGCTGAATAAAGTGTAGAACATATTTGGAGTTACTACCATGTTTGCTTTCACTGCTGTCCTATCCTGTTACTATGCTACTGGCGAATTGTCTGATGGCCAAGCTGATCACTTCTATTGTTGAGGGGTCAGTATCAACTGGAGAGTCTGTAGGTGTTGTTTCAATGACTGATGGGTTCAGTGGGAACGGTCTATTTAGAAGTTTTTCATCCTTTCTGATCACCTGTTTCTTTGTTCTTGAATGTTGGTAATAGGTCCGCCCCGACTAGTCGCTCTGGTTTTCGATGTTTTCCAGTAATCTTTTCATTGTATCACACACTGGTCTCCGGCTTTACAAACTAGCTTTTTCTGCTATCGGTGCAGGATTTTCCACATACTTCCGCTAATCAGCTCTAACACCCCTCTTCACTTGCTCGTTTGCTTCTGTGTATTCGGTCTGTGCATCGACTAGCTCTGCTCTTGTTCGAATGATATGGACCGCTGTCTTCATGTTCTTCTTTTTCTCTATCGTATTTAAATTATACACTGGGATCAATTCCTTATGAAAGAGCTTCTTGTGGCCTGAAACCTCCTGAGAGAACGAAGTTTATTTTTCTTTGAAGAATTTATATTTGTTTTCCATAGTAGTTTCTTCTTCTTTGAGTAGATCGTGAAAGGCCTAAAACTTATTGCCAGGAGCTTGATTTCATGGAGTTTGCCAGTATCCGGAAGAACGAACATATTAAACTTCCGTAGTGCTATATGCCCAGTTGTCCAGTGCTTCTTTAGTTTCAGTTTCATCTTTGCCACCACTCGAATCCATGTGTGTGAGCAGGGATACTTTTCGGATGCCCAAGTGGAAACTGGTGTTCTCCTTTTATAGTTACTTCCAGAGTCTTTCGCTTACAGATATAATCCATAACGTAGTTTAGCAATGTAAGGAGATACAGTCCTATTGTAGCTGCTCACTAAGAATAGGTTTATGCATCACTTGTTCCCTTTAAGACCCTGGAGCTCTTATGTACCATCAATTGGTGATCGGAGATGGTCAGGCCCCCGAGAGGGTTGCCTTCCTTCTAACCTCTTACCTTCGTAAACACTGCCTCCGTCTCGATAAAGCAGTGAGTAGGATTTCCTCAGCAGTGGCTGAATGCCTGTGGCCGTATTTGAGCATTTGAAGGGGGAGAGCGAAGACTCCTAACCCTCGACCAAAAAACTAGGGAAATCAGGGGCTAATTAAACAATCAGTCAAGAAATATCGTTTTATAAGTAGATTTCCTGCTATGGCCGATTTGGTTTCAGTTTCCTCTTGTCCACTACTAGATGTTAATTTGAAGCTATATCAGATCCTCTCTTTGTTCTCGTCGTGTAGGTTTCTCATCGCAGTAGTCAGATCCTATGCTAAGCACTTATCTACCGCTGGCCGTACCGTCTCAAAAACCTGAACTTTAACCTTTTTATTGTTGTCGTTGGTATGCACATAGCATCGGATAATGCTCCTTTGAATGCCTTGTTTTTATGATTGTACAGCGCGTTGAGACACTACAACGCCAGTAGCCAATTTGAATCCCTCCGCAGGCAGAAACTAGAAGGCCAGTTGTGGTTAGAGTTAGGGTGTATTCGTTGGCGATCTCGTGGTATTGAAATAATACCAGATGAGACTGCCGAGAGAACGTGAGCAAGCTCAAGGTCACGACAAGAGGGAGCGGAGTGTTTTTTGTACAGTCAAACAATCACTGGTACTATCGGTTACAATTATAAACGTTTCCATTACACCATAAAAGTCATTCACTGCAGATGCTTTTATGGTCCTGGTCCATGAGATTCCTACCCAATCATTGCTTTTTGAGTTTCTTTGGACAGCATCAGTGGAATTCCTTGCGTATATGATGTATATTCTTCTTCCTTGCCGGATTACGACAGCATCTCTTCTGAAGTTAGTCCTTTTTGTCCAATGTGTTTCACTTATATCATGCAAAACCAGGTTGTATCTTTTGGTTTCCACAGCAACCTGATTTGTTTTACTGGTCTACCACAGTTTATGAACATCCTGTTGTCACTCTGGGCGTGAGAAGGGACATCAACCTCGTAACTTCCGAAGACACTCGGCTTCCATTAAAGTCGTGATGATTCCTCTAAGCGTGGAGTTTGAATGGCTTGAATCATTTGTTCTGGCTAGCAATTTTTTGCAGAGTCGGTCTTCGGCGGGATGTGATTGCTATCCCTATACCTAGGCCTTGTGTTTTATCCGGGTCTGGGCGCTACAATAAATCTAGAGGGGCTCTAGGTGGAGTTATAACATCGTTTACCAAGTTCAGTTATTTGTTCGTTAAATATATACGCTGTTATTGAACACAGGAACCCGATCCAACTCATTCAGAAGTATTTAAATCGTTTAACCACTCAAGAGTAAATAAGCCCTAATTAGTTTTCTAATTCATTAGGATAAACACCCGAGTTACTAGATTACTTACATCTGACGATGCCAAAATCCTGAGACCATTTCATGAAATAAAGAAGCAGGAGAAGAGAACCTAATAGTTTTGCATTAGTTATTCACGAAGATATTGTATTTTATATCCCCTGAAAAGATCTTGGCGGTTGTTTGTCGAGTGTTGGGCATTGAAATTCTATATGATACACACATACGAAACTTGCGTTACGAAGCTTGTATGAATTTTCTTCCTCACTGTTTGTCAAGCTATCTGTAGCACTCTAGCTGCAAGTTTAATATGTTTTTAGTGGTTTTTTAATTATAAGCAGGTGCTTTTGTGCAAGTGTGCTTGTTATTGGACTCTGGTTTGAAGGAAAATAGGTGTCACTGGTTAGAATAGACGTTTCACTTTTATTCGCAATTTGTTCCGAGTTCGTACTTTACCTCACTTTCTCGCTCGTGTAAGTAGTGCTTAATAAGCTTTTTTCTCGGGTTCCTACTTTTAAACTGTGCCAAAATGTGGGTTTTGTAGCTGAAGTTTATAAGGTATCAAAGCTATGTCGATCAAAAATCCCTTATTAAAGGAGCATTTATCAATTTTCTCTAAATCGTTATTTATTTATCTTTAGCCTTATTATTTATGTGTCGTGAAACCTATCAAGTGCTTTACTCATTCTCAACTTTCTTAAGTCAGAAATCACAAGACGTTGTTTTTTACATTAGTTCAGTTCATCACATTATCGATCTTTATCCAGGGCTAAAACACAGGTTCTAAAATTTTGCCACTCACATTTTGCGATCATTTCCATCTGCAGTTTTTGAGGTAAGGCTTTGTTTAGAATAGTGACAAATGTATGATCTATGTGTTCCCCATACATTATAATAACCGAAAATAAGTCGAGTTATTCAACGAAAGTAAAAACATGAAGCAAAAATAAATAGACCATATGTCACACTCACAACGCCTTTTTGATCAATAAGTTAGTTATAAGGTGCACAACGAACAAACTTCAATCAAATAAAGGTAAAAAATATGACTAGTTAAAATTAACACTCATCTAGTTTGATTGTTTTCCAATGTAGCTGTGTGCATTATTCGTTTCCTTGGAATTCCTCTTGATTTAGAATCAAGCTTTTTTACTTATTCAGTGGAGTTTGTATCTTTTAATCAAATTTAAATGGGGTTACCAACTCCATATCCAACCATCCTCTATCAGGGCTTGGGATCGGCAGTAGCCACAGAGTGGTTCCAGGCTCGGTTTCGGTTTTATAAAAATCATACTATATCGAGGTAGTGAGTGGGAATTCTCCGCCAATATGTGGACGTTTTGAGAAGGTTGAGATCACCCCATCCCCGACCGCCTACCAGGATATTCGGGGTTATATGCATTGTACTTATGACATTTAAATCACTGTAATCAGTATACACGACTCGCGGTAAGACCAAAATAAATATTGGTGGTTGTTCACTCATCACTTTATTTCCAATCCAAATTGTTGCATTTTAATTTGGTTGATAAAATTTTTATACGTCGTCGTATTACAATGTTTTTTTTTAGAAAAATTATTCACCACAAACTAACATATAAATACATATGATAGTTTGATTTAATGTTTTACTTGTAAACAACCATGAATGAAGAATTTTATATTTGGATTTACATCATCTGATATTCATATTATGCATTTGGCACATACGAATCAATTACATTTCTAGTTCATTTTTTTGATGTAAGTCTAATCGTTGAATAATTAGTTTTATACATTCATATATAGCCAATTATATTTACATTTATTCACGATCCTAATATAAAATCTACCGATTTTATATGATCTTGCTTTATTGGATGTAATAACTAGGTGAGTCAGTCAGTCAGCTACAACATAGAACTTCGTATGTACGCACATCAGTTCAAATTGCCAAATCACACTAGCACAGAGAGATATGCCATTGTCACTTCAAATCCCATAGTAGTAGAAGTGCTATCAGTAATCAGAGAGATTATGGTTCGAGGATATTATTCTAGAGGTATAATTCAGTGAGGTAAATATAGAAAGAGTAAGATAAAGTGATGAGGAACTCCGAAGGTTAAAATTTGAGAGAAGGCATAGAATGATTGCACCTGCACCATTGCAAACGATTTTAAGCCATGTCACTCAAGGTTTTAACCATTGATTACAATCATCTCGCTGGCCCGAACCAGGTAGTCGATACCTACCATCATGACTCACTCCAATTGTCAGTGTCTTCATGGATTTGTGCCATGTTTAGTTAGGTTTGGCCGCCCCTTAGATTTCTTCCAACCAAATCGTATACCACAAAACATCTCTCGTCGAGGAAGTTGGTAGCTGGACATTCGTAACACATATCCCAGTTACCTTAACTGATGAAGTATCAATATTTCATCTATTGATTTACCATTTCTACCTAATACCCGTTTCCTAACAACAGCATTGCTTACTTGGTTGTCCCATGATACACGAGAAATGGTTCACAGATACCAGTATAAAGTGACTTCACATAACATTCTTATGTGACGATCACCTGACCAAATTATCTTATTTCTAAACTTTGAAGTAGTTATTATTTTATACTCAAGATCGTCGCAAATTACTGGAGAAGGGAGATGGTATTACACGCAAGTTGTTTCATAATTCCTACTGACCATATGTTAAGTTCCTTTCAGCAGAAACATCTTGTTAGCTGATTACTCGTTTCTCATGTCAAATTCAAATTATTCTCTAAATATACAGCCAACCAAGTTGAATGAACCGATGTTCTTAGTGTCAATTAATTAATTCATTCATTGATTCATTTATCATAAGTTGCAAATTCTGTCTATGCTTTGTATTCTAATGGCTTTGCACAGTATCTCGATAGTTTAAACTAGATTCTAGTCTTTACAAAAAAACAGCTTAAATAAATACTCTCTCTCTCTCTCTAGAACTAAATCCCTTAACATGTCAGTCAGTCAGCCAGTCAGATGCAACGTAGAACTTCATACGTAAGTACATCAGTTCATGTTGCCATATCATCACACTAGCACAGAAATGTAATTGTCAATTCAAATCCAATAGTAGTAGAGGTAGTAAAGGTATTAGAAGTAATCGAAGAGGTTAGGATTAGGAGATATTATTCCAGAAGTATGATTCAGTGGGAAAAGTTTGCAAAGTTGAAGAATCCAGAGGATTAGGATTTGAGAGAACACAAGGAATAAATGCACTGGCGCCATTGTGAACGATTTTGAGCCATGTTGTCATTCAAGGTCTCTAACCATCGATTATTATCATCTCGCGGACCCCAACCAGGTAGTCGACAATTACCGACATGGCTAAGTCCATTCATCAATGACTTCATAGATTTCTGCCATGTTTTGGTTTGGCCGCCCCTAACTTTCTTCCAACCTACTCCTACACTACAAAACAAAGCTCTTCGTGGCAGTCGGTGGTTAGGCTACGCAACACATATCCCAACCACCTCAACTGATGAAGTTTCATTACTTCATCTATTGATCTGCCATTCTTACGTAGCACCTGATTCCTAATAACAGCGTTTCTCACTCGGGTGTCCCACGATACACGAACAACACTTCGAAGACACCTATGATCGAAAACCAATAACCTACGAATATCTTCTAATCTCATTGGCCATGTTTCACAGCCATAAAGTAAGACGGAGCGAACTACTGCGCAGTACACTCGTCCTTTAGTCAGCAAACGGATATCTCGCCTACGCCATAAGTGACGCAGGTTGGCAAAAGCCAATCGAGCCTTCTGTATCCGAGCTGAGATTTCTCCAGTCACTAGGTCATCAGCACTGATGAGACTTTCCAGATAAGTGAAGCGGTCAATACGCTCAACTACTTCACTCCCTATCACTAGTTCAGGTGCCGATGCAACCCAATCTTGAAGCAACATTTTGCATTTCGAGGGTGAGAACCGCATCCCGAACATGCTTGCATTGTTGCTTATTGGTGGTCAGAAGACTGCATTTTGTCAGCGTCTTCATCAAGTAGGACTATGTCATCGGCATATTCTAAGCCAATAAGCGAGCCACCTGGTAAAAGGTCTACTCCTGTAAATTCAGACGAGGATAAGGTTATTTCTAACATGTACATGTACAAGCATTAATTAATGAATTGTATGATGAACAGGAAAAAAATCTGTCTTGGCTTTTTTTTTAAAAATAAAATCACCGATATAATCAGGAAAACATTTTTAGTCCAGTAACAATTTTAATTGCTGACCTAATTTCAATAGGCGCTTATCTGTCATAAGTGAACACAAAGCCTGCCTGGTACAACAGTGTGTGAATGCAAGTTCTCAAAACTACATGAATACCGAAACAAAATCATAAGTAAAAATTATGAGACTATTTTTTAAACTCAACATAAAAGATAAATGAACATGTGTCCCAGTGACTGACTCTGAGTCCATGTATCAGTCATTGTCTCTTCAGTCACTAATTGTAGTTCTTGCCATGATTCATTCAAACCAATATAACTCCGTTCAATAGTGAATATCTGCTTAGATCGATCTCCTTGAGTTTCTCCTCTTCTTATTTTTCTGCCAACCTGTTCCTATTGTGGTGCGCGCTACTTATAAGTAGTATATGACGTGAGTGAGAACGTAATGTTTGGCAGTGGAAGATGGGGGAAGATCAAGAAAGTAAGAAGAGTGGGAACACAATGGAATTTGTGTATGAAACGCATGAATAAGTGAAATGTCAGACAACGGATTGATGATAGATTGAAGATTTGCGAATTTCACCGTTTACGATATGGTTTTCCTATTTTACTGAGTAACTCTGTAATTTTCGTTAAATACAATTCGGTCGCCATCACCTGTGTTCTCCTTCACTCCTATTTGATTGAAATCATAAATCGACCGCTATCAGAAACCTGAAAGCATTGGACAGCCGTTTCACCCTTATACCAGGATTCATCAGTGGTGTAGATCTGTGCCCCTGCAGGTGGTTATCAAATCGAAGACTATCGGTATCGTAAGCAGATGACCACTAAGTTAGCATTCAAATTTGCTGTTGTTCTAATTTTAAGCAATCCACAACATTATGTGACTATCATCTATTGTTTTTGATGGGTAACTAAATTGCCTTATCTAACTAATGATTGAGTATACTTAATATCATCAACTTAAACAATTCCATGTGTTCAGAATCCTAAGAAGAAATCATGGCATTATTGATTGAAATGAATTCTTTTAAATAAATATGCATAAATCGAGTGGACTTAGCCATGTCGGTAGGCGTCGACTACCTGGTTGTTGTCCGCGAGATGATAATAATCGATGGTTAGAGACCTTGAATGACAACATGGCTCAAAATCGTTCGCAATGGCGCCGGTGCATTTATTCTTTGTGTTCTCTCATAAATCCTAATCTTCTGGATTCTTCAACACCTCTAGTTTTGACTTTCTAAACTTTTCTCACTGAATCACATACTTCTTGAATAATATCTTCTAATCCTAACAACCTCTCCGATTACTTCCAATACCTTTTACTACCTCTACTACTACTATTGGATTTGAATTGACAATTACATCTCTCTGTGTGCTAATGTGGTGGTATGGCAACATGCACTGATGTATTTACGTACAAAGTAGTTCTACGTTGCATCGGACTGATTGACTGACCGACTATGCATAAATCAGTTCATGAAATTCAGAAAAAAAAGGAAGTTGGAAAACTTCGTACAGTGTTTTTTTTTTAATATTCCAGGTTTTTTATTAAAATTATTTGCTTTTAATACCATTAAATATATCTAAAACTGTAAACTGTCGTAAAGTTAGTCCAATGTATTACAACACTGGTCAAATCTAAACCGAATAGGTAATCCGCCCCCCCCCCCCCAGTGTCTTCGAACTCGTATATCTTGGGACTACTGAGTAAGCGATATTGGGGTTTAGGAAAGAACTACTTGGTATGAAGGACAAATCAGTATATGAAGTAGTAAGTCTTCATTGGTTCAAGTGGCTGAGACATGTGTTGAATATGTCCAACCAGCGAGTGCGTCGATGAGCAATGTTTTGTGGTGAAGGAGTAGGCTAGAAGAAATCTAGGTGCGGCCTAACCTAAACATGGCACAAATCCATGAAGTCACTGACAAGTGAAATGAACCATTTTGGTAAATGTATAGAGTACTTGGTTGGAGTCCGCGAGATGATAATAATCAATGTTTAGAGACCTTGAATGACATGGCTCAAAACCGTTTTGCAATGGCGCAGATGCATTCATTCTTTGTGTTCTTTGAAATTCTAATCTTTAGAATTCCTCATCATCTGTATCTTTCTCTTTCTAAATTTATCTCACTGAATCTTCAATCCCTAATATTCTCCATTACTGCTAATACTTCTACTATCTCTACCACTATGGGATTTGAATTGACAATTGCGTCTCTCTCTGTGTGCTAATGTGGTAGTTGGCAACTTGAACACTTGATTACACGTAATGTAAGAAGTACTACATTGTTACTAATTGACTGATTGATTCTTTAGTAATTTCCTAAAACTCATATCATTCGCTCATTTTTCAATCAGTCAATCAATCAATAGCAACGTAGAACTTCATACGTACGTACGTAAGTACATCAGTTCATGTTGCCATATCATCACATTAGCACAGAAATGTAATTGTCAATTCAAATCCAATAGTAGTAGAGGTTGTAAAAGTATTAGAAGTAATCGGAGAGGTTGTTAGGATTAAAAGATATTATTCAAGAAGTATGATTCAGTGAGAAAAGTTTAGAAAGTCAAAACTAGAGGTGTTGAAGAATCCAGAAGATTAGGATTTGAGAGGACACTGAGAATAAATGCACCGGTGCCATTGCGAACGATTTAGAGCCATGTCATTCAAGGTCTCTAACCCTTGATTATTATCATCTCGCGGACCCCAACCAGGTAGGCTACACTTAACAATATGGCTTAGTTCACTTGTCAGTGATTTCATGGATTTGTGCCATGTTTTATTTTGACCGCCCCTAACTTTCTTTCAACCTACACTTACGCCATAAAACATCGCTCGCTCATTGAGGCAGTCGGTGGTTGGGCATTCGTAACACATGTCCTAACCAGCTACCTCAATTGATGAAGTTTCACTACTTCATCTATTAATCTGTCATCATTACCTAACAACCCGTTGTTTTCTAACAAAACAGCATTGCTAACTCTCTCTACCGGTCCAAAGATCAATGAGACACGTCTAATTGAAAACCAACCAGTAACATTACGAATCTATTCTACACTGATTGACAATGTTCATAGCAAATAAAATAAGACTCAGCGCCAACTTGATACACACACAATAAGTACAATGATGAAAATACACAACTGTCCATCAATAAGAAGATGTTTTGCAGAAAATTATTCACCTTATCGACTACGACAACAGCAACAAAACTTACAGCAGATCAATAATCAATCAATCAATCAATCAATCAATACTCTTACATGAATCCTATTCACAAATCAACTAATGTGTACAACCTTTTTTGTTTGCTTGCAAGAAAAATCTACTTACAATATATTTCTTGTACAACAACAAGAAATAAATATTCAAGATCAAAAAAATATGTTGTTAAACAAATAATAATAAAAATAATAAAAGATTGATCTACTTCTACTCTATAAGATCATTCTTTTTCAAAAGAGAAGTGAAGAATATTTTTTTGTTTACATAGACATTCTATAGTTAATTGACTAGCAGCATGTGAATTAACAGTAAGTAAGAAGAGTGCAAACAAATGAAAACGATTTGAACCAACACTAATTGTTAATTTGTGTGAGTGTAACACGCAATCAACATTTTTGAAAGCGTCCAAAAACAAAACAAGTAAATAATTGAATTATTTATGAGAAATGACGAGTGTGTACTGTACTACGCAATAATAGTTCGCTTTGTTTTATTTGATGGCTGTGAAATATGACCAATAGGTTATTGGTTTTTCAATCATAGGTGTCTTCGAGGGATTGCTCGTATATCCTGGGATACATGAGTGAGCAACGCTGTTATTGGGAATCGGGTGCTAGGCAAGAATGGCAGATCAATGGATGAAGTGGTGAAACTTCATCAGTTGAGGTGGTTGGGACATGTGTTACGTATGCCTAACCACCAACTGCCTCGACGAGTAGGTTAAAAGAAAGCTAGGGGCGTCCAAAACAGAACATGGTATAAAACCATGAAGTCATTGACAAGTGGACTGAATCATGTTGGCAAGTGTAGGTCACGTGCTTCACTCCCTATCATTTTACCTAAAATGAATCATGTAATCAATAGTTTCTGATTTCCGATGATTTTCTAATTACGAACTCGAATACTTGGTATATAATTATCATAATTCTAACACTCTACGGTTTATGCAGTCGGTAATTAGTGACGTCCGCTCTTATCCGTAACATCACACATAAGATCAAGTTGGTCATAATCATTCATATCCTTCCTACATTTGTTAATTAATAACTCTCTCTTATCTACATGACTTACCTTTAGGTTTACTTGTATTATTATTATTACCCTTAATGTAATGGACACCCTTTTTGTCGTCGAATGGAACTCATCATCAGCAGTACACGTCCAATACTCCTAACAAGTCCCATGCCAGAACGAAACGGCCGTCTCAATGCTTTCAGATTTCTGACGGTGGTGGTGGTCTAACACTGATCGATTCATGATTTCAACCTCGTAATGCAATATATATATATATATATATATATATATATATATATATATATATATATATGTTAGTGGGACATAGATGGAATTAAAGCATGACTACGTTGCTGCGCGCTGATTGGCTAATTTCTTATCCAATCAGTGCCCGATCGAATCTTGGAAAACAGGGTAGAAGATTCTCGTATTGTTAGCTGCGTGCGGATTGGTTGAATCTAATCCAGTCGATCACGTGAATTACTACTATCCAGAAGCTTCTCATGTAAATGGTATAAATGGACTAACGTTGTATCTATTTTTGCCTTCGCCATCACCTCTGACTTCTTATTCCTTACTATTTTGAAATATAATCTTTTCCTGTTCAACCAACCGTGTTTTTGATTCTTGGGAACTGGTCCAGCGTATTATGTGGTCAGAGAATACTAAGCAATAGGAATTAGCTGGAAATTATTCAAGCAAGCGTAACAACAATATATATATATGTGGTGCGCGCTACTTATAAGTAGTATATGACGCGAGTGTAAACGTAATGTCTGGCAGCAGAAGATGAGGGAAGATCAAGAAAGTAAGAAGAGTGGGAACACAATGGAATGTGTTTATGAAACGCATGAATAGTGGTGAAATGTCAGACAATGGATTGATGATTGATTGAAGATATGCGATACGATATGGTTTTCCTATTTTACTGAGTAACTTGGTAATTTTCGTTAAATACAATTCGGTTGCCCTCACCTGTGTTCTCCTTCACTTGTCGCTGCCTGCATGAAGGAAGGAGCTCCCGTGGTCGAAGGAGTGGGAGGACGCACATTTGCGGATCTTCCTGGGGGAGTTTTGGGCCGTGGTGGGGCTGGTGGGTGTGAAGGAGCCCGGGGCGGAGTTGGTGGTGCTGGGGACGCTGCGGGGAGGTGAGGCAAAGGCGGTATACGACAGTCTGGACGGTGCCGTCGGGAAGACGGCGTGGGAGACGATCACCGGGCGGCTGATGACGGAGTTCGACAGCCCAGTGGACAGAGAGAGAGAGCGCTGCGAGAGTTCCGGTTGGCGAGGCTGTCGGCTGATGCTGACCCGCTGGTGCATATATATACGTATATATATATATATATATATATATATATATATTGATGAATAACGGAAATGTACTTTTATTTTTTTTTTTAAGAAAAAATCTAGTTTATGTTAATTATATTTTAATTTTTAGTTTCACTGATTATTATTATGGTCACTTCTATATCAGTAGAAGAATTTCAACGTTTTCAAACACAATTATTAGATTTACGTGAATCACAAATTCTAGCTAATGATGCTAGATTACGTGCAGAGAAACGTATTAAACAATTAGAAGAGGAATTAAATAGTACACAGCTAGCATTAACTCATGCTCAGACAGATTCATTGAATCATCAAAACTCACTGTTACTGTTGGAAGAATTAAAACAAGAGAATCAATTGTTACGTGATAAATTATTGAATACTGAAGCATCATTCCAGCTGCAATCGTCTACATTACGTGCAGAATGTTATCGACTAACTAAAGAGTTAGATAATGTATCACAACACTTATCAGAGATTGATCAAAATGCTAATAACAGTCATTATGATCAACGTGATCATGCGAAAGTTATTCAATGTTCAAAATATTGTCAAACAACTCCTATTGATTTACAGCATAAATCTATACAAATTGATTATCCTATTGATGATGATACAGATGTAGATATTGATCAATTGCCTACATTCCTGCTGGATAATATAGAAAATCTTGCAAATTCATTAAAACAAGCCGACAGTACACATGTACGGTTAGAACAGATTATTGAACAATTGAATAATAAAGTTGATATGCTTGAACGCAAATTATCTTGTAATTTATCAAATTATCAACAGTTGGTACAAAAATTAACTAAAGAAAATGAATATCTCTCAATGGAATTGAATAAATCACAAGAGAAATGTCATCAATTTGGTGATGTGGAGAGTGCGTTACGCAATCAAATTGATGTGATTAAACGTCGTAGTGAAAAATTAAATCATGAATTAAGACGTGAATTAAATCGATTTATTGTACGTGGTGGCGCAAGTGGCGGTGGTGGACTAAATGGTGCTGATATTGACTATGTGTCTTCTCATTTATTACGAAAAAATTCACAACATTCTTCATCATCTTCATTGTATAGTAGTAGTGGTGGTACTGCTGCTTCGATTACGGCTGCTACTGCTACTACTACGAATGGTAATAATTCCACTTCAGGCTGTTCAACATTGACCAGCGATCAACAACAAGAAGTATACAATGACAATGATAATTCAGATGTGCCAATTATGCATAATAAGAAATTATTCAATGGTTCTACGCTGAAAAATGATAGCTTTCATGAAATGCCACCAGGATTTTTTTCAACAGCTGATTTCAAAGTAAGTAGTAGAATAAAAAAACTGTATAGAATATATTCACTTTTGTGTGTGTTTTAATATGGTTTTTATACCAAGACTGTGGAGATGCTGGGCTCGAATCGTGCGAGTCAGTCAGTAAGATGCAACGTCGAACTTCGTACGTAAGTATATCAGTTCATGTTGCCATAGCACATTAGCACACAGAGAGATGAAATTGTCAATTCAAATTCAATAGTAGAAGAGGTGGTAAAGGTATTAGGAATAATCGGAGAGGTTAGGATTAGAAGATATTATTCAAGAAGTATGTGATTTAGTGAGATAAGTTTAGAAAGTCAAAACTAGAGGTGTTGAAGAATCCAGAAGATTAGGATTTGAGAGAACACAAAGAATGAATGAGCCGGCGCCATTGCAAATCGTTTTGAACCATGTCATTCAGGGTATCTAACTATCGATTATTATCATCTCGTGGACCCCAACAAGGTAGTCGACAATTACCGACATGACTCAGTCCACTCGTCAATGACTTCATGGATTTCTGCCATGTTTTGGTTTGGCTGCCCCTAACTTTCTTCCAACCTACTCCTACACTACAAAACATAGCTAGTCGAGGAAGTTGGTCGTTAGGCGTACGCAGCACATGTCCCAACCACCTCAACTGATGAAGTTTCATTACTTCATCTATTGATATGCCATTCTTACCTAGCACCCGTTTCCTAACGACAGCATTAATTACTCCGTTGTCCCACGATATACGAGCAATGCTTCGAAGACAACTATGATCGAAAACCAGTAGTAACCTACCGACATCTTCTACTCTGACTGGCCATGTTTCACAGCCATGAAGTAAAACGGAGCGAACTACTGCGCAGTACACTCGTCCTTCAGTCAACAAACGCATAACTTGCCTACGCCATAAGTGACGCAGGTTGGCAAAAACCAATCGAGCCTTCTGTATCCGTGCTGAGATTTCTTCAGTCACCAGGCTATCAGCACTGATGACACTCCCCAGATAAGTGAAGCGGTCTACACGCCCGACTACTTCACTCCCTATCACTAGTTCAGGTGACGATGCAACCCAATCTTGAAGCAACATTTTGCATTTCGATGGTGAGAACCGCATCCTGAACATGCTTGCATTGTTGCTTATTGGTAGTCAGAAGACTGCATTTTGTCAGCGTCTTCATCGAATAGAACTATGTCATCGGCATATTCTAAGTCAGAAAGCGATTTCCCTGGTAGAAAACCGACTCCTGAAAAATCTGACGAGGATAATCTAGTATCTAGCAGCATGTCTATGAATAGAGAAAGTGGACATCCCTGACGGACAGAGTCCTGCGAGTTGCAAGAGTCGTGGAAAAGCACTGCCACTGATGAGTTACACAATCCTGACGAAACGGCCATCCAGTACTTTCAGATTTCTAATGGTGTCGTCTACCAACAATGATTCATTCATAATATCATTGTGAAGTTGAGTGGCACAGAATCAAACTAGCATGATTTAGGCAACTAACATGATTGTGGTAGGTTGTTAATACCCCTCGTATGTCTAATCAGTCGCGCGGTTAAGTTTAGTTCAAAAAAATTGCGTTACCACTTTACACAGTCATATCGCATTTGATCTTGAGTCACAAACAAACAAGTGTGTATACTTTGGGGACTTTAGATCCCCTAGAACTCACTTGGGAAAGGTCCTAATTTTGGATTTTGTGTTTCCGCGCATGGGCTGCTCAGTCGACCTTGAGGTCACATTTCTCACTCGGAAAATCCTTCACTGTCATTAGTTGATGTATGATTATTTTAGCATGCTATTTTTGTGGCTTTCTCAAGGACGTTTCTATCAGGTATAAATCAAGTCGATTTGTGTCTGCCTGTGTACCTCGTATTTCCTGGATGCTTGTAGAATACACTTTCTACGCCTTGCTATAGTTAGGGACAATCGAATCAGAATAGCCTATCTATCGTGTCACTTCATCATTTGTCTTCGCTCTCGTTTACCGAGTACGTTGCACTCGTAATAGCATTCAAGCATATCGATCGACGAGCGTATCAGTCAATCATGACAATGTTTAGTTTGTGTTCTATGCTAGACAATAAATAGGTGAACACAAACAGAAGTAAAGAATAGTGACTAGGTAGTGGAATTCAGGACACACGTTCCGTCCTATTTGAGACTCGTTTGTAGCTGGATGTTGATATTCTCTTTGAAACTTTAAACCAAGTACCGTTTACTCCAAATACCATCTCATTATATCCACTTAGCTATTATTGAGTTCAGATGAACAATCATTTGTGCAATAGGATTAAGATTAATTCATTTGTATTGGTTGTTTGAATGTGTAGGACTGCAGTTGATCAGTCCTTTTGGTCTATGTACATTCTGTACCGATAGCTAATTGAATAACTTTGATAGTGTTTAAAGCGAACGGTACTGGACTCGAGTCTCTCAGAGTGATGGACGTTAACTCTAAGATTCAGATATTTATCCATCGAACGAGTCCCGAATTAGACGAAAATCACGACCTCAATTCCACTAACTAGCGTGGATTAATAATACTGTTCGTATATTATTTCTTTGAAATCATGAATCGATCAATGTTAGACCTCCATTAAAAACCTGGAAGCACTGGAGAGCCATTTTGGTCAGACTATGGGACTCTCATCGGCAGTACACATCCACGACTGCTGCTGCTGCACGTATGATTCGAGCCCGGGACCTCCGATCTTCCTCGCGAACGCTTAACCCCTCTCAATGCCCTGGATTGGTTGGAGTTAAACAATAAAACTGTTGGATTCTGTGGCTCAGTGGTCTGCGTGCGCAACCGAAGGTTCAGGGTTCAATTCCTGTGTGCTTGGGTCGTGGATGCGTGCTGCTGATGAGAGTTCCATAGTCGGACGAAACGGCCTTTCAATGCTTTTAATTTTCTAACGGAGGTCTAACATTGATCGACTCATGATTTTAATGAAACTTAACAATCCCCGCATTGTTATAATGAATATTCTATCTTCGTAAATAAGTATTTCATTTTTTTAAAAGTTTAATGCCAAAGACAAAGTTCAATTAGCATTTTGAGTGTAATACTTTTTTTTAACACATCTAAGATGTTTTAAAAGACTATTATTCCTTCTAGCTATGTGACTGAAAACAATTGAAAATGTCTTTATAAGTAGTAGCCTTAGTAGTAGTATTAATAGTCTGTGGGTAACATTTATAGTCATGCGAGAAAATGGTGGATATGAATTGTTATAAACTAAATTCAAAATGACACTAGAATCTCATGTAAAGTATCGCCCTCAAATGTTCTGGTACGGTTGAAGATGGAGAAAGTCCGCTTTACCTCTCTCGAAATGCTTTCATATGACCACGCGTAGGTAGTCACTGACAGAGAATACCTACTCACCGCCTTCCTTTGGCAAGCGTGTTATTGACAAAATTGAGATGGCGAGAAGCGAATGACTGGATGGGTGGGGCTTAAACCAGACTTGTGGATACTGAGGATTCACCTAGAGGAGTTTGAAAACGCTGACTCCGAATCAGTGGTACAAATGAAATACAGTCTCCTCAAGCAAAAAAATTTTGTTGTACGAACCTATTGCTGATCACCGGTTACCATGGCACTGCATCTGTTGACGTCACCACTTCACACTGCCTTTCTGTATTACCAAAGTTTTCATCGTTTCGTATAAATCTCCACTTGATACTTGAAAATAGATGAAAGATGGCGGAATTGTCAAATTAAACTTAACTTTCAAGGTCCTTCTGGGTAAATCAAAACAAAGGGATGTAGGATCCGAACTGAGGTTTGGTGGACTGAGGAATAACACTGTCCAGGTAGTTTATATACGTGTCTTGCCCAGTTTAAATTCAAAACAAATGATTTGGGTAAATAACGGTTCTAATATTCATCATAAATATAAATATATACATCATTATCTAAACAAATATTACCACTCAATTATTCCACCCACCAACAATTGTTCAATGAATCAAATCAACAGCAACAAATAAATGTTATTCTATCCTTCCTGGATAGATCAGATTCGTTCGACGGATAATATTTGGTTGCTTTAGAACACACAGTGTTTCCTATTCTGGAAGGGTGCTTCAATTCACAATCGAAATGCACAATTCCAGTCAAGGCAAGCAACCGACACAATCAAAAGAGGAACAAATCAATATGGCTGCCGCCATGTCTAAGTATCAGCTTAAACAACCATAAATGCAATTCAGAAAGAAACATAGAAACTCAGTTAAGGCAAAAGAAGTAGAAATATTATCATCTCAAAATAGAATCGAACAGACTACACAAAATGTACAACTGAAGGAATCTCAATCAGGCACAAATTACAAATATATACATGAAGGAGGGATTTTCACAACTAAACCCGTCAAAGAAAATGGATCTTATACAGCCTTCTTCTCATTGATAAATTTAAACAGAGAAAGAGAGAGAGAGAGAATTGTGTATACATACAACCTGAACGTAATCAGTATTGATTAGTAAAAATCAATACGCATACATACATCATGCATGATATCAGAAGAAAAAAAACTGTTCTCATCTAATAATAAAGAAAGGATTATATACTACTTACTACTACTACTACTACTACTACTAATCGATAATCAAATATGAAAGAATTCTAACCTATGTTCAAATGATTGTGAATGGTATTTTTTTTTCATTTGTTAAGATAAACAATGAATGATATGGAAACTCCAAAGTACAGTTAGATGATTGATAAGTGTCAAGGTTACGCAAATCATAACAACAAGGCGATTGTTACGTAACAATAATAACAACAGTAAAAGGATGAATCATAAGATTTGTCATCAGTTATAGAGTTGTGGAGATGGTTGTTTATTAGTGAGTCAGTCAGTCAGTCAGTTAGCGCTACAACATAGAACTTCGTGTGTATGTACACACACACACCACGGTAGCACAAAGATACAATTGTCGATTCAAATCCCGCATAATGTTAGAGGAAGTACAAGTATGAGCAGTGAACAGAAAGATCACACG